ATGGACACTTAAGTACACTCCGTGTACTAAATATATGGATGCTAGGAGCTAAAGGTTTAGTGATCCAAAGTTTGAAAGAAACATACCACTGCAAGCTTGTTGTCAATAATCTGATCATCTTCACCCCAAATTATCAGTGTTTTCTGCCTGACCTGTAAAACAGGAGTCCTAGCATGAGAATGCTGTACAATTTTCCATTGTGACAAGACCGAAACCAGTAGACAACATAGAAAATGAAGCTACAGTTAGAAATGCCATGTAACAGCAGAATCAGAAGCAAGTTGAATCAATCAGCCTCAAGATCACACTAGTTTACATACCACGTGAATGATTTTAATGACGTCTAAAGCTAATAGGTTTGTAACTCCAAGAGATGTTTGCAGTTAAAACTTATGGCATATCACTTTATGCCATCTCTCTTATTTAAACAAATTTTTCAAAACTAATATCAGTGCCCAGGGGTTCCTGTATTTAGACTCCAACAATCGCATGTTAAGATGAAACTAGTAAGATTAAACTCAATATTGCTAGTTTCCATAATCAAATCATGCCTATTAAATAGAGCAAGATAATGCTGTTTGATACTAGAGTCGATGCTAAAAAAAGTGACAAAAGGTCACAAAAGGCATGTATATTTAGGAAAAACTTGAGAAAATTTAGTAAATCTGCACATACATGTTCTATCTGAGAAATGACATTGTAACCTCCACTGATCATGAAATTCACCAATGCATCCTCCCACCAAGGTAATGAACAATGTAAGCGGCCAATCTGGATAGAAAACCAGATAATCAGAAGTGTAAAACAAAAAGAATAAAAATATGCCAGAAGCACATTTTGCATATCTGATCTCCATGACTTTAAGGTTTTTAAAAAGATCAAAGGGTCAAACTTACATTAGTCCAGTCTATGCAGGTACTAAATGGTAAGCCATTGAAAGCTAACGAAGTTGCATATAAGCGAAGTGGGAGACTTTTCAACAAGTAAACCTGCAGCAGGTTGTTTCTCATTAACAATTAGGCAAAAGTTTCTCTTCCTTACTTGTAGAGTTTGCTAATCAGAAACCAAGCTGTTAATAAACTACACATTATAACATATATGTTATGTTACATCAAACAATCCAATCTGGCGTAGAATGTATCCTTTGTTTTAAGAGGAATAGGAGGTAACTCACCCCAGCATAGGCTACTGCTTTGGGTAAGGTTGCAAGGTTTCCTGTACCTTCTGCGTAAACACTTGCATCAATTAAAACCAGCCTATCAACCTGATAAAGTAAAAGCTACTTGAAGTAAGCATAAAATAGTACCTTCTTCATACAAGAAAGTAATCTACAGCATCTGAACAGGGATCCTAAGTTACCGAATGAACTTACAGCTTCTGGATATTTAACAGAAAAGTCAATAGCAACAGCAGATCCAAGACTAGGTCCAACAAGTACCATTGGCCTCTTGATGTGGGTAGACCACAGCTGAAAGACAAATGAGACAGGGAATTTTCAAAACATGCAAATTGAAAATTCTTTAAGAAATTTAATACCCTAGTAATTCTTCAACATAGTCTTAAGGCCAGGCCAGGAAGATCTGCCTGGCCCTTATCACACTTCTAACGGTTTCTACAGCTAGACAAAGAAACACTACTTCAGTATTTTTATAGTGTAGAGCTGTGCCAAGTAAGCAAGGATGCCCCTTTTTAATGCTTCATAACTGTAATATCATACCACTGCACAATGCACAATGCACAATGAGGCAAAACTGTGTACGTGACCCTGCATACTAAGTAATATAGTTACACTACTAGGAAAAAAAATGATTGTGAGATTTACCTTAATTTTGAACTTAGATACGTAACTTCACATTTATTAGAATGTGTAATGAAAGTTGAAAGATACTAATTCCAACCTTTCAAGTTTGTATGCACTAGATTAGAACATATATTCCGGAATCAGTACGTACCTGGTAAAGATGATCACGCTTGGAAGCTACATCACATGATGGAAGCCTTCCTTAAATATCACAGGAAACAAAAAATACAAACCATGAGCAAGTCTTCGTTTTTGTTTGCAGAATCTTTTTGAAAAATAAAAAACTGAGAAAAGGCTAGAACAAGATATAACATACCTAAATCAGAGAAACCCCATCCAAGGATATCAACTGCCCATGTCTCCAATCCAGCATCCTCAAGCATCGGAAGAGTGTACCTCCACTCTAAACATGAGCTGAACAATGAGGCATAATGAACAACAGGAGCACAGCAAGAGAAATTGATCAAAATTAATAGCTTAGCATGAGGCACACCTATCAAACCCATGGAGAAGCACAACTGGATTGGCCTCTGTCTGTTCTTTTGGCTTCACACAACTACTCATGACACATCCCTTCGATAAGTTTACCTAAAATGAACCAGCAATGAAGCTGGACCATCAAACAAAGGCAGTAACCAGAACTTTATATAAAGAAAGAGTTTAATTGATTCGATCCAGTGCAATATATCTAGATATGTGACTTTGTTAGGATTATAAAACAGAATACATAAAAGAAGAATGATTAAGTTGCATATGATGAGTGGACACCTCTATGACAGCGGGTACACTACTGCAATGGGTGCACTCACACCCGCTCCATTCTGTTCCAAGTGTGTGTGTGAACAGGGAAATACTTATAAAAGATATATTCATTCTAAGTCAGCATACATCGTCACAAAGTAGTGTGTCCAGCAGTAGTCAGCACCCAAAGTCTTAAAATCATGGATCCGCCTCTATAAAATATATTCCTTGCTTCCCAAATATATGATACTCTTTCCATTTTTAGGATGTCCTGAAATGTTGGATACCATGCCCACTTCTATACTGCTTTCAAGAAATAAAGTTCATTGAACCATCCATATTATAGACTTGGATGTTATCTCTATAAAAATAACTTTTTAACAATTACTAAATTATTTTCTTGCACAAATTAACATCTTCAGATTCTAGGTTCAATTAAATACCGTCATATAAAATGAGCTGGAAAGAAAACAACTTAAGAAGATCAAAAAAGTGAAAATAAGAGTTTTCTTGTTTCTTGTAATCTAATCCATATCTAACATCCACATGCAGAGACATAAAAATAACCCTTGTAGCTGCAATGAGTACCTGCATCCATGCACAGATCTTGTACTACTGATTTTAGGTTCAAAACCACTACTTCCGTTTCAAAAAGAATATTTCTTTCCTCTTTTAGGAACACTTTAATTTCAACTTTAAACGTGGCATGTTAAGAACCATAAGATTAAATGACATTTTTTGTACATTCAACATATCTTTAGGTTAAAACCACAAGATTCAAAAACATTCTTTACTTAGTTATTGCGAATTTTCTACCTATGTGGTAATATAATATTAGTCCAAAAGAACAAAACTTTACTCATCAGAACAGACCCCATTTCATAAAAAGCAGAGAATTTTCCCCAATTGAATCTCAATTCTTCATGCACTTTGAAATTCTACCCCTTGCTTCCTCAACAACCAATGAGAAAACACATAAAACTATCTAGAAATTAACCCCAAAAAAGACAGTAGTAATAGAAAACTTACTGGTATTCTCTCAATTCGTGAAGCCAGCTTTCTAGCATAAGGGTCTTTGATATTCTCGACTTGTTTAGGAAGAAAATCCGGAAATTCACCTGCCCAGATCGTTAAACGCCTTGAATTCGAGCATTTGAAATTGGTTCCAGTTAGTAGAAATGCTGGCGGAGGAGCACCACCGGTTCCGGCTGAGAAAAATGTCAGCATATTCTTTGTTTCTCACTCCCTCAGCCGTGCACGGTGGCCACCGGTTTTTCTACTACTCATACTGAGAAGAGAAAGAACACCAAATGGCGCCCATATAATATTTATCCAATCATGTGGCACCAAGATAACGCAAACATTTATTTACAAAACGAACATAAAAATATTTGTATGAATAAGAAGCTTTAGAATATTTTGATACGTTAGTTATAAACTATAATTAGCTTATAATAAGAGTTCAAAAATTAATTAATTTTTATAAATTGTGAAATTTTAATGTTTATAAATAAAATATTTAACTTTATTATAAAGTTAAATTTTTTGTAGCAATTTTCGTTAAGACTCCTCTCCCTTCATTAGTAATAGGATTTAAGTGGTCGTGTAGTTTCTTTTTCTTCAATATGGAGTAATATATGTTGCTTTATCGACTTTTTGTCTTGACATTTACTATCATATTTTTCTTGCATCTCTCTAAGTAACTTTTCTTTTGAATTGAGGATCTATCGTAAACAATATCTTTATCTTCATTTGCTTTCTATTTGATACTTCGTTGTCATATTCTTCTAATAACCCTGCTCCATGTAACTGCTCTTTGAGCCGACGATATATCGAAAGCAAACTCTCTACCCACAAAGGTATGACATATAATTGTACAACTTATCCTCTCCAGACCTCACTGGTGGGATTGTATCGAGTATGTTGTTGTAACTAGTGAATGACATCAAATGAGATTAGCATGACTAACTTTTTATCTCTTTCATCTGTGTACACTACTCTTTTACATGACAAACTTAACAGAGAACCACATCACAAAAAAATTGAAAAATCATCAGGAAACATGAACATAGCACAAAAAATAGGAAACTATGCAATCATTAGTGCAGAAAAGCTTATTGTTTTAACAAGATGACAAATACTAGTAATATATAGCATCATTCAACTTTCCATCTAACAATATGCTTCAACTAAGATAATTCAAGATAATATTACACAACAAAAGTTCAACACTGCCCTTTTTTCTTTATCATAACTGTGGCGTTTAGGCCAGCTTGTGTGCTCCTCGACTATTATTCCCCCAGCTGCTAGCTCCAACCAGCAAAGGTATTGAGTAACTCAGCCCACTAAGGCTTGTCCAGGCAATGACTCACCGGCCATAAACTCTAGCTCTGAGTATCGAAGTAATACTGAAAGAAATATATATCAGAATGCTCAAGTATTTAGCTGATTGCTCAAGTGTTCAGTTTGTTACACTATGAACTGGATGCCAAAGCACCTTCGGTATGTTGGTAATATTGCCGACATTGCTTAAAGAATGAAATCACAGTTCATCATTGAAGCTGGCAAACAAACCTCATCACTATGTTGAACCAGGAAGTCAATTTGGATATGCTAAATATCTGCTTGTACAAGTACCAGTAATCATAGGAACAGAGACGGTGGAGACAGAGTCAGGTTTCGCCTTTTGTGATTGATCAGACTGAACAAATTCCGTGATCAACCTGGAGACAACATCAGGCTTCTGCACATGAGGAATATGGCCACACTGGGGTATTTGGCATAGCGTTGCACTTGGAATTTCACAATGCAATCTCTGAGGACATTAAAGTCAATGGATACTTCAGTTACTCCCTGTACTGCATATTTGGCTGCTAGGAGCTAATAGGTTAGTAATATTTTTCCAAAGTTTGAAAGAAACGTACCACTCCAAGCTTGTAGTCAATAATCTGATCATCTTCGCCCCATATAATTAGTGTTTTGTGCTTGACCTGTATGACAGAACTCCTCGCATGAGAATGGTGACAAATTTTTCACAGGGACAAGAATTAACCTTTCCGGGAAAAGCAATCAATAATTCCTAAGTTACCCACAAAAAATTGGAGATTCATGATAGTACAGAACTAATAAACCAAACTTTAAGCAACACCATGAGCAAAGAATTGATGATTCACCATATCTTAACTCAGGAGCTCCTAGAAACTTGAGCACATGCAAAATTAAACAGGAGATAGCATTTAACCCTGGATTTTTTTCAATCTTATTTTTTCATATCCTCATCAAAATTGCAGTTTTAGTGAAATTGAAAATGTGCAATGTTGTACTAATGGGAAAATATCTGACATGAGTAACCTTTTGTGTTATGTGATAAGTATATAGGAGACTTTCTTTTTTCCTTTCAGAAATTGATATCATTTGGGACAACCAAAAAAACAAAAACTGATATTAATTGGATAGAAAAGAGGAATTATTTGAAGCAGTGGCATGGTTTCCACCTAATAATTGTGGCTGAAGAAAACCCGTGAACTTCACAGTATGCCAATATGCTGGACAGACAAGACCATTGGCATGAGTTTTTGTATATAGACTCCAACATTTCACATTTTTTCTCCAAATCTTTTACAGCAAGAAAATGTTGCTTGTTACCATAGTCATGACAAAAGAAAGTAATAAAGGTGGATGTCTATATAGGAAGCCATTAAGATTATTTAGTAGTAAATTTCCACATACATGCTTTATCTGATCAATGACGTTGTAACCTCCGCTGATCATGAAATTCACTGTTGCATCCTCCCACCAAGGTAATAAACAATGTAAACGACCTATCTGGATAGGAAATCATGTAATCAAAAGGTTTGATAAAACAAGTAATGCAGACACATATTTTAAACATCTGAGCTCCACGACTTTCAGGTTTCTTAAAGATCAGAGTGTCAATACTTACCTTAGTCCAGTCTATACATGTACTTATTGGTAAGCCAGTGAAAGCCAATGATGCTGCATATAAACGAAGTGGTATGCTTTTCAACAAGTAGACCTGCAACAGGTTTTTGTCAAAATAGTGAAAACGAAAAGGAATCATAGATGGAAGATACTCGAAGAATGCAGTAAGCATATTTTTAAACATGTTATATCTATGATTTGGATCAGAATATATCCCTTCGTGTAGTAGTCCCCCAAGTATCTAGAACGGGTTCTTTCTTTATTTGGGGTTTTGCAGCACCAAGGGAAAGATCTGACGAACAGAGAGCATCAGTATGCAAGGGATGCTAATCTTGGATCAATTAATGATTAGGTAAGAAGCTTCTCTCCTTTTTATTTAAAGCTAATCATAAACCAAGTTATTGGTAAAACAACAATCCTTATGATAAAGATGTGCAGTTACATCAAATGGTCAAAGTCGAGTGGAATGCATCTGTTTATTTGAGAGGACTAGGGGAAGACTCACCCCAGCATAAGCTACTGCTTTGGGTAATGTCGCGAGCTTTCCTGTACCTTCCGCATAAACACTTGCATCTATTAAAACAAGCCTATCCACCTATAAAGTATAAGTACTTCAGAGTTAGCCATAAAATGATTCCTCCTTAATACTAGAAAGTAGAAACTAATCCATAAAATCTGGATAGGGATTCACAGTCATTGAACATACTTACAGCTTCTGGATAGTGGACAGAGAAGTCAATAGCAACAGCAGATCCAAGACTCGGTCCGACAAGTACCACTGGCCTCTTGATGTAGGTAGACCACAGCTGAGAGAAAAATGAGACTGAAAAATTAGAAAACGAGTTAACTGAAAATTCTTATTGCCCAGATAAACTTAAACGAAGTAAACATTACACCATTATTTCCAAGTTGGGTCTCTGCCTAGTAAGTAAGAGAGCTCCTCTATGATGCTACATAACTGTGATATCATATTATATTACTGAACAAAGTGTAATTGTACAACCTTACCCTGCATATTAAGTACTATTTACTTAGCCTACACTACTCAAGCTAATTGAATGAGACTTTTAACCTAATTTTGTACTTATATAGGCTACTTCTTCTCTACCTTCACAAGGTAGAGGTAAGGCTACATACACACCACCCTCCCCAAGCACCCCTTGTGGGATTACACAGGGTATGTTGTTGTATAAGCTAATTTTACATTTATTAGAATTTTCAATAAAACAGACTAATTCCAGCCTTTCAAGTTTGTAAGCTGCACTGGATTAGAACATACACAACAACATACCCAATGTGGTCCCATAATTGGGGTCTGGGGAGGGTGAGGGGCACCACAGACCTCACCCCTACCTTAGTGGGGTAGAGAGGTTGTTTCCAATACTAGATCAGAACATATATTTTATAAAATCAGTAGGTACCTGGTAAAGATGATCACGCTTGGAAGCTACATCACACGATGGAAGCCTTCCTTAAAAGTCACAAGGAAACATAAAGGGATGAAACTATGAGCAAATCTTGAGTCTTTGTTCGCAAAATCTTTTTGAAAAATGAAAAATGAAAATCGAGAAAGAGCTTGAACAAAACAATATACCTAGATCAGAGAAACCCCATCCAAGGATATCAACTGCCCAGGTCTCCAACCCAGCCTCCTCAAGCAATGGAAGTGTGTACCTCCACTCTAAACATGTGCTGAACAACAATGAGGTATAATGAACAGCAGGAACACAGCAAGAGAAAGTGATCAATAGTATTAGGTTAGCATGAGGCATACCTATCAAAACCATGGAGAAGTACAACTGGATTGGCCTCTTTCTGTTCTTTTGGCTTCACACAACTACTCATGACACAACCCTTTGAAAAGTTTACCTAAATGAACCAGGAGAAGCAAAGATATTTAGATCTCTGAGTTTACGATTAAAAGGAAAATACAAATTCCATACAAGAAGACTGATTAAGTTGTGGATCATGGGCAGACACCTCCATCACAGCAATGGTTACATCCACACCCGCTGCATTCATCTAGGTATTGTGTGTAATATATCCGAAAAGATTCTAACAATGTATCTTCATATTAATTCCTCATGCATTGTCAAACTAGTATGTGCAGTTCTACTCAATACCAGTCTTAAAATCTTGGATGCACCTCTGCTATATTCCTAAACAACCATGACTAAATAGAAAGTATTCCCTCCTTCCCAATATCCAACACTTCTTCCATACCATATCTGTAAAACTTTCACATGTTTTCCCTTTTCCAATTATATTTGGTTGGTTAAAATTTTAGGAAAATATTTTCTCTACGAAAACAAGTTCCATAAGTGGTTATCCACTCCTCCTTGTTCTCCAACACAACCCCCCATCCATGTCTGACATCCTCAGGCATAGACATCAAAATATCCCATTTGCTAAAGCCACAAAATTATCCAATACACACGCGAGAGGTAGCAAGTAACCCGTGCACACAAGGTGGCACGACCACCACCACCACCAACAACAACAAACTCAGTGTAATTCCACAAATGAAGTCCGGAGAGTATAGCATGTAAACAGACATTAATCCTACCTTTACCCCATCCATAAGATCTTGCATGCATGATGCAAGTCTTAATCTACTGATATTAGACCCTAAATTTATTTAAAGAAACGATTTTTTAACCGATCAGCACAAACCCATTTCAACAAAAAGTACAAATCTCACATCCATTGATTCCAATACTTCAAACACTTCGAAAACAACGGAAAATCAGCTTCACACACCAAGAAATACACACACAAAAACCCACATTTTAAAAAGAGAGTGGAAAAAACGTACTGGTATTCTCTCAATTCGTGAAGCCAACTTTCTAGCATAAGGGTCTTTGATTTTCTCAACTTGTTTAGGAAGAAAATCCGGAAAATCACATCCAGCCCAGATCCTTAAACGCCTCGAATTCAACCATTTCAAATTGGTTAATGCCGGCGGCGTAGCTCCACCAGCTCCGGCTGAGAAAGATGTTAGCATAGCAGACGCAGAGTACTACTGGATTTTTCTGCTAAAAAATCAACTTTTCCAAGAATATACTATACTATATTCAGCATTTTTTTTTATGCATTTCTTGTTTGTTTTTCTTCTGCTTCCGAAAAAAAAATGGATACATAGGGAAGAGTTCTATTATGGAAAATTTTGTACTTTTTCTTGGCAAACCCGCAAATTTCACTAGTTTAGAGCTTAATTATATATTTTTGTGTGTTTCTAAAATTACTATTTGTTCAAGATTTTGATTCTCACATACATGTATATGAGATATATGGGTCAAAATTATGTGTAATTTATTTCAAATTCATTCTATCAAAACGTGATTTATATGTATATACACCGCCACTTATAGATACATATATATGCAAGTGTATTTTAATTGAAATTTGGTATAAATTTATTAATTAGTGAGATAATATGTAATTATTTTAAATTATAAGGAAAATTAGTAAATATGATAGAAATGTTGTGTAACTACGTAGGTTTTAAGAAGAAAAAAAAAGATTAATAGGAAAGAGTTACTCCTTCTTTTTTTTTTTTTTTAATCTATTTTGATTTGATACAGAGTTTAAGAAAAGTAAAAAATATAGGAGTGTACAAGTCAAATCAAATCGATGAAACAAGTCAAGCCTAAGAAAAAACCTGATTTGTGAATTGATTTAACTTTGAAAAAAAAACACATCACAAGTTAACAATCTACATTATAAATATTTTTGTTTTGTATTCAATTTGACGAGAGCATTTAATCTTATAAATTTAGCACATTGAATGTTAATATTTCAATGAAAGTATTTGTACTTGGTGTGAATTTCTCAATCTTTTTGAAAATTTCTATTCAGTTAACATTTTTAAGTTCTTGCTTATCACACAAATAAAAATTATACTTAATCTCTTTATCAATCACTCTATCATTATAAATCAATCGAAATCGAAAAACCGAATTAAATTATTCAACTCTTATATATTGATCCAACCCACCCATATAATTAAACTTGACATCCTGAATCCTGATTATTAACCCCCAGCCTGAAATGTGTTGTTTCATTTCTTACCTTTCATCCTTTCTGAACATGTTAAACAGCATTCTTGTGAATCAAATTTGAGAATTCTCAATCATATCTAAATGCTTTACATTTGACTATTTTACCTTTATTTATATACGTATACAAGAAAAATCAAGTATTGGTTTATGACAACATAATACCGCGAAATTGAGGAGATGGCGGAGACACTGGACATGCTAAATATCTGCTTGTACAAGTAGGTGAAATCATCACAGGAACAGAGATGGTAGAGACAGAGTCAGGTTTCGCCTTTTGTGATTGATCAGACTGAACAAATTCCGCGATCAACCTGGAGACAACATCAGGCTTCTGCACATGAGGAATGTGGCCACACTTTGGTATTTGGCGTAGAGTCGCATTTGGAAGTTCACAATGCAATCTCTGAGCACATAAAAATCAATGGAACACTTCAGTTATTACCGCGTATTTGGCTGTTAGGAGCTAACATGTTAGTAATATTTTCTGAAGTTTGAAAGAAACTTACCACTCCTAGCTTGTAGTCAATAATACGATCGTCTTCGCCTAATATTATCAGTGTTTTGTGCTTTACCTGTATGACAGAACACCTAAGCAATGAGAACGCTGGAGAATTTTCCGCAAGGACAACATAGAAAATGGAGCAAAACGTTCACATACATGTTCTATCTGATCAATGACATTGTAACCTCCGCTGATCATGAAATTCACTGTTGCATCCTCCCACCAAGGTAATAAACAATGTAGACGACCTATCTGGATAAAAAAAAAAAACATGTAATCAAAAGGTCTGATCGATAAGACAAGTAGTACATACAGATGCACATTTTAAACATCTGAGCTCCACGACTTTCAGGTTTCTTAACGAAAACTTACATTAGTCCATTCTATAGATGTACTTAATGGTAAGCCGTTGAAAGCCAAGGATGTTGCATATAACCGAATTGGTATGCTTTTCAACAAGTAGACCTGCAACACGTTTTTTTGTCAAGATAGTGAAAACACGAAGAAATTGTAGATGGAAGATACTCGAAGAATGCTTGTGATCATATTTGAAAACATGTTATATCTATGATTCGGATCAGAATATTTCCCTTCGAGTAGTACGTCCCATGGACTCACCCCAGCATAAGCTACTGTTTTCGGTAAGGTTGCAAGTTTTCCTGTACCTTTCGCATAAACACTTGCATTGATTAAAACCAGCCTATCCACCTATAAAGTAAAAGTACTTCGGAGTAAGAAATTAATCTGTAATATCTCGAAAGGGATTCACAGTTACTGAATGTACTTACAGCTTCAGGATAGTTGACAGAAAAGTCAATAGCAACAGCTGATCCAAGGCTCGGTCCGACAAGTACCATTGGCCTCTTGATATAGGTAGACCACAGCTGAAAGAAAAACAAGACTGATAAATTAACAAAACGAGTAAACGGAGAACATACATTTCACAAAATCAGTATGTATACCTGGTAAAGGTGATCACGCTTGGAAGCTACATCACACGATGGAAGCCTTTCTTAAAAGTCAGAACAAAACGAAAAGAGGTGAAACTATGAGCAAGTCTTCATGAAATGAAAATGAGATCGAGCAAGAACAAGATCGAATACCTAAATCAGAGAAACCCCATCCAAGGATATCAATTGCCCAAGTCTCCAATCCAGCTTCCTCGAGCAATGGAAGCGTGTACCTCCATTCTAAACACGTGCTGATCACAATGAGGTATAATGAACAACAACATAGCTAGAAAAAGTGATCAAAACTAATAGCTTACTATGAAACATACCTATCAAAACCATGAAGAAGCACAACTGGATTAGCCTCTTTCTGTTCTTTTGGCTTCACACAACTACTCATGACAAGATCCTTCGATAAGTTTACCTGAATGAACCAACAACAAAGATGAACAATCAAGGCAATAACAAAAACTTTATGAAGGAAGAGAAGGGTGTGTTCAATACAAAACAAGACAAGCAAGATTTTTAGGATTTCATATAAATTGGGACAGAAGGAGTAAACAATAACTCCCTCTGTCCCAATTTATGTGGTACAATGAATTTCGAGATTCAAACTTCTAAACTTTGACATAAAAGCCAAGTTTTCTGATATAAAATTTATATATTAGAAAACTACATAAAAAGTACTTTAAATCAGAATAATTAACTTAAAATATTAAAAAAACATGAGTAGAAATTTCGATCAAAGAAAAACCCGGTTGTCCTTTTCGCTAAGGGACCCAATATATGAAGAAAGTATTAAGTAAGTACACCAAGAAGTGGAAGGGGTTCAACATTTACTATCACTCACAAAAACAGTTTTTAGCTGCAATAAATATGAGAAAATGATATAAATAGTCCCTGAACTATAGAAGTAGGTCTAAAATGGTCCTTTAACTATACACTTAACGGATTTAGTCCTTTAACTATTCAAAAACTTGTCAGTTTTGGTCCCTTAACTATACACTTATCGGTTTTAGTCCCTTAACTATAAACTTACCGATTTTAGTCCTTTAATTTAAAAAACTTATCAGGTTTGGTCTTTGTCCATTTTTTTAATATAAATAACTTAGGTTTATATTAATGGAAATTTTCGTAAAATTAAATCTTTAACCTATTTTTTAAGTTGTTTCTCTATCCCCGTCATTTTTTCTTCAAACTACTATTATGAAAAGAACAATAACGTCAACGATTCAAAAATAAAATTAATGAGGAAAGAAGATGTAAGTCCTAATTTTATTTAATGGAGGATAAAATTAAGCATATAATTGTTGTTAATGACTTGAATCCGCACTTTAATATGCTAATCAGTGCGGATTTTATTTAATTTACTCAAATTTCTTTACGTAAAATAAAATGAATAGAATAATAAAATTTATCTATTTAAAAAAATTGCAAATCTACCATTTTATAAATTTCAATTTCTAAATTAAACAAATTTTGTACAATGAAGTCGTTGGAGTACAAACTTTGGATTTAACGGGTAATAATTTTTTTCTTTTTATAGTAAAATTTTGCATATTAAAGTCATTAGTAGCAATAATATGCATCATTTTATCCTCTGTTGAATAAAAATATGACTTATATTTTCTTTCATCGTGATTTTTTATTTTAAATTGTTGAGGTTAAAGTTCTTCGCATAAGGTTATTTTGAAGATAAAGTAGAGGAGAGAGAGAAACAACATAAAAAGTTGTTAAATGATTTAATTTCTCGAGGCATGAATTTCATTAATATAAATCGAAGCTATTTGTATTAAAAAATGGACAAAGACCAAACCTGATAAGTTTTTGAATACTTAGAGGACTAAAATCGATAAGTTTATAGTTAAGGGACTAAAACCGGTAAGTGTATAGTTAAGGGACCAAAGCTGACAAGCTTTTGAATAGTTAAAGGACTAAATCCGTCAAGTGTATAGTTAATGGATCATTTTAGACCTACCCATATAGTTAAGAGACTATTTATGTTATTTTCTCCAATAAATATACACATTAACAAAGAATACTAAAGTCTTTACCGACATTAGTTAATTATCATTGGATTCAATGTCGCTACAGTTATGGCTTTAGCGACCTTTACAAAGAGTGTTAATTACCATTAAAAATACATATTTAGTGACAATTAAGCTATTGCCATTAATTAGTTATCACTAAAATCATTTTTTGGACATGTTGAAACTTTGAGTTATTTACTTATAACACTAAGAATTTTTCATATTCTAGAAATGATCCCAAAACTGCACATTTTTAAAAGAGAGCGATAAAAACTTACTGGTATTCTCTCAATTCGTGAAGCCATGTTTCTAGCATTAGGATCTTTGATTTTCTCGACTTGCTTAGGAAGAAAATCTGGAAATTCACAGCCAGCCCAGATCGATAAACGCCTCGAATTCGACCATTTCAAATTGGATCCAATTAAAACAAATGCCGGCGGAAGAGCAGCACCGGCTCCGGCTCCGGCTGACAAAAAAGTTAGCATAGCAATAAAAGTGCCAATAATTTATGTAGAAATTGGATTTCATATTAGTCTTATAAATACTTCGCAGTTTGGCATTTGACATGAGTTTCTCGTTTCAATTTTTGTCCCTAAAAAGTAGGCTTTTTATTTTATGCTTTTTTTTTTGTTAACAACTGAGGTTAGGCATATATTCGGCATGGCCGGGGTATAACGTACATACTACTCAATTCGTTTTAATTTGTTTGTCAATTTGACGTTGACATGAAAGTACAAGGTTAATCCTTTATAACTTTGTACTCATCAGCCATTTTTCTTATTAGTTTTTTATTTGGTGTTCGATTTTATATTGAAGCATGACTAAATTTATTCAGATAGACTTAAATGTTTTGAAACCTCTAATAAACGATAAAAGAATACTCACCACTGCAGCATGCATCAACCTTATTGTAACGGATTATATTAAAATGAAAAACAGAATACAAATAGTAACCATCCCATCAAATGCAAGAGGATCCCACTCCCACTCCCACTTCCACCCCAACCCCACCACCCTCTTTTTTCCAAGAAAAAAATAGTGAGATTACGAGATGGAAATCGAATAAAAATTTTATCGGATAAAAGTTTAGATAATTAATTAATTGAATTGTCAATATTATACCATCAATCAACACAGTCAAAAAATTTCAATAAACACAAACACACTTTGACTTTTATATTCTTTTTTCTCTTCCTCATCTCATTTTGATACGTACTATGTGAGTATCATAGAGGATTGAAGAGTGTTTTTTAAAAGGATGAATCAGTGATACCATATTAGTACTATATAAATGTATCATGTGGATATCATAAAAGATTAAAAAAAAAAAATTAAAAAAACAATCTTTTATGATATTTTAATAATATATGATCTACATCATGTGACTATCATAAATAACTAAAACGTGTTGTTATTAAAGAAATTTATCAATTTTCAATGGTACTCTATCAATACATGATATATATTATTGTTGGTATCATAAATAATTAAACTCTTTCTTGAAGGAATGAATTAGTCTTTTATAATACACTATATATATATAACTGAAACGTGTTGTTATTAAATAAATCTACCAATTTTCAATTGTACTCTATTTGTACATGATATATATTATTGTTGATATCATAAAGAATTGAACTATTTCTTGAAGGAATGAATTAGTCTTTTATAATACACCGTATATATATAATATATGTCAAGTGGTACCATTTTACAATAATTGATGGTACTAGGTTTTATTGAAGGAATATGAAATAATAGCCAAACATTAATTTATGTTGGTACAATAATTGATTTTGATGAACGAACAAGATATCGAATTGACATTTAATTGGTACAACTTAAAAGAATTGATTTTGATGGCCAAAATATGGATTTGATGTTATTGCCTAACAAATGGGAGGAAAATTCAGCCATGCAACAACGGTTCATTCAATTTTTTAAGAGAGGTGAATAAGATATTTTGATTTCAAAATGAAGCAGAAAATTAAATATTTTATTTGTGTGCATAATAATTGTAGAATATACTTTATTTGTCGGTATAATAAGTGTGTTTATGCATATACAAATATTATTATAGCAAAATACATTGTATCCTTAAACTTAATAATAGTGAAATATATTATATTTCTACATTTAATAAGTGGAAAAAGGTATATTTGAATCATTAATAAAACAACAGTGAGATAACTAATTCACTTTCTTTATTGAAAAATATATCAGCTTTAAATCATATATTACAAGATATATTTGAGCCTTTTTTCATTTGAAATAAGATAAAAAATCTCTAAGAGCTCTTGATGTCCTTGGGCATTTTTTGTTAATACCTAATATTACTTCCAATCAAAATGATTGTAATATATTTACTAAAATTACTTTAGTCTACCTCTTATAATTCCTCTAATAATTTATGCCCACTTGATTTAACATTGACATCCTTAATTATTAGCACAAAATTTATATAGTTTCTCCATGTGTTTTTTCTGATAGGCAACTATACCATATCTTTACCTTTCTAGACTTGACTATTTAACACAAAATTTGTTGTACAATATTGACAAAAGTAAATCTCTTTGGAGCAATCTTCATAAAGATATGAAGAATATGTGTACATTAGGCCTTAGTGTTCGGTACGAAAGAAAATATTTTTCAATTGTTTATATTCAATTAGTAAAAAAAATTGATTTTTTTTTAAAAAGAAAAAACTAGTTTCTTAAAAATAAGATAACTAACTTTGTTAGCATAATTAAGAAAAAACAAATTTTATAAGTGATATGTTTACATTAATTGTTCTCCTCGCCCGGCAATACACCCCATCCCCACCATCTATTATTAACAAGAAATTTATGTTATAAAACATAAATTTTCAATCTCATTCCCATCGAACCAACTCACTATGAAAACTCATGATGAGAAATGATTTTCTCTGAAATATAGGGAAGCTTTCCTAATTTTCATTTTTTCATTGATTCAATCAAAATATTTGTGTGAATAACCAATGAATATTTTTCAGTGAAAAAATAGTATTTTTTTAATTGTGTATAATATCTATCTAAATTATATACAAATACTTTTAAAATATATTTTGCTTACGTAGCAAACACCCAAAAAAACAAAAAAAAAAAGTTTGAAATTAAACCCACTTAGTCATTTCAATGTGCAACCCTAAGCTACTCTTGCTAAATTCTAGGTGGCTAAGCTATAGGGTAGTACCATAAAACGTGCAATGCACATTTGGATAGTTTAAAAGTTTGTCAAATTTATTTTTAAGTCTAGTTTTTTTATTTTTGAAAGTGTTTGGCAAATATAAAAATAACTTAAAATTGTCAAAAATAACTTAAAATAAATTAGGAAGTGTTTGGCAAGGTTAAAAATAACTTAAAATAAGTTAAAAACCAAAAGTATATGTCTCCCCTACTTTTTATTTTTTTTACTTAATAGTCATTTAAGTTTAATTTTTTATTTTTGACTTAAAAACTACTTTTTAAAGTCAATCCAAACGGACTCTTAAGATACAAAGGTCTAATTTGTTTATAGTAAAGTTTAACATATTTGAATCTGAATACATATCAATTTGAATATTAAAATATACATTAAATTTTGACATTTTAAATTGTTGAAATATCGTATTAAGATCTAAATACGAAATAATTAACATTAACCAAGATAGTAGAAAGGATAACAAAGACTAATCCCTTATATTTAGGTGTATCGCTAAAATTTCAAATTTAGTTCAAAAGTACTTGTGTGTTATCATTTATGTTTATAACTTCGTTAATTACATATTTAGTAGATAGTTCAGTATCACTACCAAAATTAGTGATCATAACAAAGTTATCGAAATGATTTTTAACTTATATATTACAAAAATATATTATAGTTACAAGTTTACTAGATAACACTCATCTGAATCTCAAATATAGCCATTTAAGATGGTGTTGGGCCTTTGCTAGAGGCTCTTTCTGCAATTTGTCCACTGGCCCATTTGTTATCATTTGTTCAAGCCCAATTGTTAATATCGGTTGGGATCCATATCGTTCTAAAATTAATCTAATATTATATTATATAAATAAAATATATTTTAAAAAAATTATACGATGGTTGGCGATGATAAATTGGTAATAGTGATGATTAACATCTTTCTGTAATTGAAACTCTTTAATTTTAATATTACATGTTTCGTTAATAACAAATACTTTTATATCACTAGTATCTGATAATTTTAAGATAGAGGTAAGAGGATTAGTGACAAATTTAATCGAACTTAATAACTTTGATTTACATCTCTTATTATTTTTTAAAATTCATTGAATGTATTATTTTAGAACCATTAACTTTAAAATATTAAAATTCCGAATTTACACGAAAAAAATCAATGAAAGTCTATTTTAATAGGTTCTTCCGTTTACGAGAAAAAGATATTTATTTATTTGGAATTAGACAAAAATATAAATTCTATTTTGGAGTGCTAAGAAAGCAAAAAAAATAAAATCCGCCATGGATGCACAGCAACAGCAGAGACAACAAGGTGTTCCGGCTCGCCCAAGGTCCGGCGATGGCGGCGGAGACTTCACTCCGATTCTCACTGTGCTCGTTGCTTTCATCGCCATTTTCGCATTGGTGAATCAACTCTTATCCCTAAAATATCAATATACTGCTTCTAAATTATCTATTGATTTCTCTATGTATGAATTTATTTTTGTTTTGATTATCTTTTTGCAATTATTGATTTGTGTTTAAGATGTGGAATGCATAGTGCTTGATAATTGTGTTTATTACATTAATTGTATTTGTGCAGCTGGTGCTTGATCAATAGTGTTAATAGTGTTTGATAATTGCGTTGACCACTATAGAGTAGACTTTTCAGTTTAATCCATTGTAGGATTCCCAAAATGACTTTATTTTAGCTTAAGTGGATATCTGCTTAAGTTAAACCAATCTAAGATCTGTAATAAGAGCATCCGTCGACAAAAGGATCACCTTAAGATGATATCTCGTGGCTATTGAGAACGAATTTAATCAGATGGCTCTATGAAAAAATAGGAAAAATGATTCATTTGCCTTTCTAAGAGGAGTAGGATGTTGGTGATGTAGTGGTTTTGATTGAATTGCTTTTTTAGAGTAAAAGAAAGATTAACTAGATTACAGTGTTTGATATTTGAGCTATAGAAGTATCAGAGCCTGTTTGGATTGGCTTATTTTAGGTGCTTTTAAGCATTTTGGTAGAGTTTGGAAGATATAAAAAAGTGCCTTTGCACTTGTTTTTAAGCTAAAATAACAAAATAAGCCAAAAGACATCAGTTAGGATTCCTAACTTATGGCTTATGGCTTATGCTTATAAGCCATAAGCTATAAGTCTATCCAAACAGGCTCTTAGTGGTGTGGTGTCCAGGGTGTGACGGCGGTCATAAAATTGTAATGAGGACCAGGTTTTGAATTCAAACTGAGGGGAAAAAATTGGTGATTTCTTCTGCTTAGCTTGGTGGGTAGAGTTATCTGATACATGACTTGGTGAGGAAAAAACAAGCTATTGCTTAAACTAATCCTGAGTTTATGTGGAAAGGAAAACTGAAACCAGACATTGTTAATCTTGTATTGACAGTGTTAAGTTTTATGTGGAGACATTTCTCCACTAATCGCAACCAAACATCACCTCAGAATAATTGTGATTGTGTTGGTTGTTTTAGACAACATTTGTGAGCAGGATAAGGTTTGCCGCATTAATGCTCAGAACCTAGCACACTTCTCAGTTTTGACGAAGTTCTATGTAGTTAAAATGTTCTAGGATTAGTTGTCGTACTTTTCTAGTGTTTGTCCCAATAACAAAAAAAAGTATAAGTCGCCTTTCCTTGAAACTGTTGTTTGATTATTTTTAGATATACTTGTCATGGGTTTTTACTTGCAATTGCTTGACACTGAAAATCGGCAATAGTCTAATGCTTCACTATGCAATCTTCAATTTGTGTTGCATCTATGCTGTTGAGTAACTTGATAATAGGACTTGGGTAGAGTAACTGTGACTTACATGTTGGGGATGTGAATTATTATTAGAAGTGTGACATCTTTCTTTTTATGGACAAGGTATAACTTTGACATCTTAAAATCATTTGCAGATTGTGGCTCCTTCTATTTCAACATTAAATAATAGTGTATCCATTTTACACCAAGTGCCGGAAGGTCATGTTGGAGTCTATTGGAGAGGAGGTGCCCTTTTAAATACAATAACTGATCCAGGTGATATAGTGCTTTGTCTAGATGGTCATTTGCATTTTTGTGGGGTATCTCCTTATTTTGAAGTCTATTGTTGACCAAACATGTATGTTTATATGTGTAGGTTTTCATATGAAACTGCCCTTTATAACTCAGTTTGAACCCATTCAAGTTACTCTTCAAACAGATCTGGTAACATTTCATTTCTATTTTTATATTTGTAAGGTTTTTTATCTCAAAATTTTTGAGATCCTGAGTTTCTAGTAGCATGACTTTTTAGTAATATAAACCCTGATTAAGAATAGGGTCAATGATGTCTCTGGATCATGTGGTAAATGCAGGTAAGGGACATTCCTTGCGGAACCAAAGGAGGCGTGATGATCAACTTTGAGAAAGTAGAAGTAAACTATCTACCTTGTGGGAATGGTATAATTATATGCAGGAATGCATTGTCATCTTATTTGTTTCATGTGCTTTCAGGTTGTTAACCGCCTTCGGAAGGATCACGTGTATGATACCCTGCTGAATTATGGGGTCAATTATGATAATACATGGATATACGACAAGATCCACCATGAGATCAATCAGTTCTGCAGTGCTCACAGCCTTCAACAAGTTTATATTGACATGTTTGATCAGGTAAGAATCTTCTCGGCCTCTATGTACTGATGGCTTGCCAGTTTCTGTAGTTAATGAACTATCCTTTTCTTTTTCTTCTGGCATTTGTGCTGTTCAATGTGTCTTTAACGGTTTCTGGTTTTAACCTGCTGAGTCATGCTTTCCTCCCTTAGAGATTCTCTATTTCCATGCTTAAAATCCATGATATGCCTTCTGGGGCAAGGAATTGTCTGATTATTTACAGTCTCCGGGGTTCTAAAACAAAAATTCAGCAAACTTTATTTAGCCAACATTATTGAATAGTCTTGACGAGATGCCTGCCAAAACATTTTCAGATCGATGAAAAAATGAAAGATGCTCTTCAGGCTGACTGCACACGATATGCTCCAGGTATTGAGATTCTCAGTGTACGTATTACAAAACCTAGCATCCCGGAGAGCATAAGACGAAATTTTGAGAACATGGAACAGGAGCGCACCAAGGTATTAAGTGGAGAACTCTGCTTCTTCTTTTTGTCTGAACTGAATGATTTGTTTTCCACCATCTGAGAAGTGACAAACTTGTGCCTATCTCCCCCCCTCCCCCAACCCCAAACCCCACACACACACAACAGAAAAAAAAAAGGAATAGAAAAACAATGCCCAAATTCTTTCTTTGCGTTATTGTTTCTCTCACCCTATCATCATAATAACAGCTATTGAGTACTGACCTTTATCGAAGTGTTCCCCAATGTGCCGTTGTTGCATTGTTAGTTACTTCTGATGCAGATATTAGGGCTACGATTAACAGTGACTTAATTAGTAATCCATCCGTGCATCAATGATGTGTTACAGGTTTTGATTGCAGTAGAGAGACAAAGAGTTGCTGAGAAGGAAGCAGAGACGCAGAAAAAGATAGCAATTAGTGAAGCTGAAAGAAATGCTCATGTTAGTAAGATCCAAATGGAACAGAAGTTGATGGAAAAAGATAGTGCTAGGAAACAAGAGGAAATTTCAAATTCGATGTACCTAGCTCGTGAAAAGAGCCTGGCAGATGCATCTTACTATCGGTGAATTCTCTAAACTTATCCCCTATATAACGAGGAGTGAAAATATGCATACTAACTAGTAATTACCATATCTGGGATTTTCCAGAACAATGAAAGAAGCAGAAGCAAACAAGCTGAAGCTTACCCCAGAATTTCTAGAACTGCGATTCATTGAAGCTATAGCCAATAACTCGAAAATTTTCTTTGGGAACAAGGCAAGGCTCATCTTCTTATTACATCTATCTCTATCCCCTCTCTTGAGTTTACGCCTTACGGCATTCTGTGCTTAACACAAAAATGTGATTTTTCAGGTCCCCAACATGGTTCTTGACCAAAGGCTACTTGGGAACTTTTTGCAAGAGGCTGTACCGCGAGCGGAGTCTTAGGGCTGTTTATGCTCGTTTGTTATATCACATGGAGAATGATAGAATGTATTGGTTTATCTCTATGTTTCATTCTGTAGCTTTCAGCATCATGTTTTTTCCCCTCTTTGGACATGGAAATTTTCCATTTTTGAATATGGTGTTTGTTTGTGTCATTCCACGGATTGTGAATGGTAAATACCAAGCAGTATTATATGAAGATTTGATTCGTCTTAGTAAGCGTTTGGACATAGATTTGGTTGAAATTTGAAAGAAAGTGTATTTTGAAGTTGAATTTGAAAAATGATATGTGAAAGTTGAAATTGTGTTTGGACATGTATTTCATTCGGAGTATAATGAAGCTGTGTGGGGGAAGAAATATCTAACTTAGAAATATTAGTCAAAATATGCTTTTCCAAATTTGAAACCCCATCTAATGAATCTAACCAAAAATAAATCCATTTTATAACCGAACAATGTTTTGTTTTTTCTCAAAAAAAAAGGAAATTGTTTTTTGTTTCTTTAGTGTAAAAAATAGTTAATTTTTTCTTTAGTTGAGTGCAACAGTACCAAGAAGGGCATTTGGTCTAGTGGTATGATTCTCGCTTAGGGTGCGAGAGGTCCCGAGTTCAATTCTCGGAATGCCCCCTTTATCTTTTTTGCACACCACTCGACTATCTACTAACCTTGATCGTAATTCTCCCATGTGGCTACCTAGGAGATGTTTCTCCCAACTAAAATACGACATCACTCGACTATCTGCTACTTCGGCTATCGTAATTCTCCCACTCGACTACTTTTGTCTATCAATACGACACCACTCGCTATCTACTAACCTTGATCATAATTCTCCCACGCGGCTATGTTTCTCCCAACTAAAATACGACATCACTCAACTTGCTACCTTCGATCCTAATGTTCACAACGCGACTATCTACCATTTTGGTCTATCAATGCGACACAACTCGATTATTTACTAACCTTGATCATAATTCTCCCACTCGACTACCTAAGGGATGATTCTTCCAACTAAAATGCGATATCACTCGACTATCTACTATTTTCAATTTTAATTTGACGTTCATAACACAATACGACTATCTACTAACCTTTTATCCTAATTCTTAACTTTCATACCTTTCTATTTAAGATCATGTCATCATACCGTACGTAAAATTTCAAAAATATGAATTTGTTAATATACTTCATCATTTACAAATATTAATGAAGTCAAACACCAAACGGACGGCTTACAAATAAAGATGAAAAAAGCAAAAAGTTGGTGAGCTCAGATTAAACGTTTATTAAAATAAAAATTAGTATTATTTTTTGATTGAGAAAAATCACAAAATTAAGATTTATATTTACCAGTCTAAGATGTTTGTATCAGTTTTGATTTGTATAAAACATATTTAATTAAGCTTTACACCTAATTTATTCAAACTTTTGACTAATCAAAACTAATAATTAGTTGGCACAATATGCCTAACTTATTGTGTGGTGTCATTGTCTTCTACTACTCGATGATAATTAGACCTTCCCACTTGAGTGAGTGGAATATTGAAAATTGACACAAAGATATTTGACCTTTCAAGTTAATCGAGGGTCTATCGAAAATAATCTAATTATCTCTCATAAAAATAAGGATAAAATCCGCATAAATTTCACATTTTTCCAGATATTACTTATGAGATCGAGCATATAGATAATAATTACTTGTGAGACCTATGTATATTAAGAGAAAGACATAGATAGAAAGATGATACTTTTTATTTTTTTGGTTAAAAAAAAGATGATAATTTATTTCATATCTTCATAATTAAAAGGTTTGTCTGCTTTATTTTCTTCTCCTACTTATTAGGTAATGCTTTCCCAGAGGCAGGGAAAAAGTTTGTAATAAAAAAAAAGTAGAGATAACACTTTTTTGGAAAAGTTAGATTAATGTTGTATTGTGGAAAACCTAATATTTATTAATTTTTTAGACCATAATTGCACATATTTTCCTTACTTTTTGTGTGATTGATTCTGTTTTCATCTATCTACTTAGCAAGAATCTTTGCATTTAAATTAGTGGAGAAGAGGAAATTGAAAAGTCATCAAACATTATTTATTTATGTCAAAGAATTGAATGGTTGAGATGTCATCTTCTCTTTTATCAGATGTATCAGATACGAATTATAAGAATGAAGAACTTATTTGTCAACAAATAATTGCACAAAACTATCACTGAAGTGTTAGATAGTTTGTACTGGTATGAAATAAGCATATCCAAATTATTTTATTTCTCATATTAGATTTACTTTATGAATATCTGAATAATCGAAACAGTGATTTTTAAATATCAAATGATTAAAAAATAAAATAAAATGAACATGAGTTTTGACTTTTGATCCAAAGGCAACTTCAAAATTATGTAAACCAATGGATGTGGAAATTGATACCTTTTCCAGCAACTAAAGGGGAGGACACGATAACTTCTTCTATCGTATCTGTATTGAAGTTTAATAATTTAAATTTATTTTACGTAGAGTCATTCAAAGAAAACGTTACCTACTAATTTTTTTTTTTCATATTTAGGAAAATATATGAAAATATACCTATTTTAACACTAAAAAGGAAATGTTTTCAACAACTATAACTATTCATCATATATATACCACTCTCCAACTTAATTTAAGGTAATTAATTTTTTCAAAATGAAATAACTTTATCGAGAAAAAAGTTTTTTATACATCCTTCGAAAAAGAAAAAATTGTATATTTTAATTAAATTTATGTTGTCCTTCTTGAGAAGAATAACATTATACTACTATTTGGGAGCCTTAACAATTTTTTTCTAATATACTACGATCAAGTTAATTATATTGACTGAATTTTATAGATTTTAGTGAACAGAATTATGAAAAGTTTTTAAAATGAAAGAAAAAGATACGTGGCAAAATGGGACCATGCCACCTTATAGTCCATCAAGCATCATATACTCTATTGAAATAGAGTTTTTTTATATTCGATCTTAATTGACCTATCATTAATACACGAAAAAAACAAAAAGAAGACTTTGACAAAGAATATTAGGGAAAATGGAAGAAAAAATAATATTGACCCATAATCCCATATTAGGAAAAAAATAAAAAAAATTCATGATCAAACGCCAATTATCACAAATCCTTTAAGCATAAATAAACTCTACATAAATATATTTGTGTGTTAAAAAGTTTCTCCACTTAATTATCTTCTCCTACATTTTAGGTAATACCTTCCCATAGACAGGGAAAAAGTTTGTTCTAATTAATAAATAAAAAGGTTAGATATTTAAATTAAAATTATCCCACAAGAATCTGAATTAGGTGAACAGTAAATTTTGAATGATGACAATTAAAAGAAAAATGGAATACCAATTTTGACCCTAAAGAAAGGCAACATTAAAAATTCTAAATCAATGGATGTGAAATTATGCCTTTTTAGCAACTTTGGGAGAGGAGGAGAAGATACCTATTTTAATCCTAAAAAGAAATGTATTTAAAATTTAACTTTTTTTATAATTTTTTTATAAATATAAATGTGAAAAAACAAATAGTCTTCATAATTTAAGGTAGTCAAATATTTCCATTATCTTGAGAATAGTAGCATTATACTATTTGGGAATATTTTAAAATATGTTAATCATTAATATGTATTACCGTGGTTGTTGACATAAAGTTGACTTTCTAAGTGAATTGAATTCCATAAATTTAATGAACGAAAACGTTGAAAGTGAAATAAAGAGATATGTAACAAAATGAGAGCACTCTAACTTGTTGAGTATGCTATCTTGAACCATCGAAATCATTAAAGTAATTATATTCGATCTTGATTAGCCTATTATTTCGTAAGGAAAACTTTACAAAAGGATTATAAAGAAAAATAGAAAAAGAGCATATTGATCCTTAGTTTGTATGAAAGAGATAGATATTAATAATACCCCTACCTTAGCTTTCAACAAATAATCAAAAATGGATTTAGAATATAAAATTTATGAACTCAATAATTATTTTAAATTTTTTGAAATAAACATAAAATTTAAGTCAAAATTATTAATCTTTGAAAAACCATACAAGTCAACAATAGACCATAATAAACATACTAATATTTTCCTTTCTTTGTGTGTGGGGGCATGTGAGGAGACATCCATCCAAATTACCACCATGCAATATAGTGGATGAAGACTTTTGGGCACATGGTTAGAGTCGAAGGTTCGATCGAATTCAGTATATTTTGCTTAATAAATTTAGTTATATTAAAGAATTTATTAAATACGTACATATATTAAATTTCAAATTTAATTATTAACATCCGAAATTATTATTCTAAAATCTTGAATTCGAAAAGTTCAAACTCTATCTCTCTGGTATATATACTAGAGCACCATGAACATGAATTGTCTACATGAATATATTCACATCCACAACAAAGTAATTATAATCATTTTAATTATTTTTTTGGGGCAAAAAAGAATGGTTGATATATGCTTCACTACTGTGGATATACATCTCATGTACAATAATGTCATAATTGGAATTGATTTTATATATATATTTCTCTCTCTTTGTTGTTATTTTACTTATTATATAAGCCAATGCAATTCACACTTTCCAATATACTTCAATTTGTTTTGCAATTCTTCTTCTCTTCTTTTGCCCTTTCAAAATAGCTAAATTTCACTACTTTAGTTTGTTTGGAGTTCCACTCTTGATGATGCATGTGAAGTAGTGTCCTTGGATATTATTTTGGTGGGCTTTATAATATAATTGGTATGTTATCTTTATCTTTTTCTCTCATATTCTTTACTATATAAAAAAAAACTTCTAGCTTATAGATAATTGGTAATCTGTGATTAAATAGGATTAGATAGCTTTTTGCTATTTTTGCGATATAAATTATCCTTCGCTAATTCATGTAATTATGAGTACTATTAAAAAAATATTGAAATTAGCTATGAATTTTGTAGCAAATAGATATCTGTTGTTAAATAGTAGTATTGACAAATTTTATTGTTTAGCTATAAAATGTGTTCATGATTAAATCTTAGGCTTTTTTTGTTGCTTGTGTTTGATCGTTGTTGAAAAAAATCTGTAAATGAGTTGTTATTTACTAATTTTTACGTTTAGAAATTAAATTTATTTCTAGTGGAATATAAAATCTTTAATGACACAAATCATAACTTGTAAAATATTTATAATACAAAAATATAAAATTAT